TATTCGCTGTAATTCAACCAATATTATGCGTGTTTGTGACTTTATAGCCCCTTTCTTGACCTTTTGTAAGGGAGAAGTCCCGGAATACTCTTTTGATTGATGTACGGATGCAAGCTTATATGACGGATAAAGAAATTATTTTAAAATATTGACTAGTAAAATGAAAGTAGAATCAATTATTAGCATGGATTGAATTTAAATATGGAAGCTTAGCTTGAATTGTGATGTAATCCAAGAAGCTAAAAGTTTTGTTTTGTTTGAAGGAACTTTGCTAGCTGTCATCTAAAATGACAAACTTTTCCTTCTTGCAAAACAACTTCAAGAGATGTTTCATCAAATGAACTCTTTTCCACGCCTTAGTGTGCATCAACGTCCACGGCAACGGAACAGACTTCACTATCTTCTCAAACATAGCATAAACTTTCTGTCTTCATTTTCTTATTATATTTAACAAAATTTTATTATGAAAAATTATTTTTTATAACTTGAATTGTTAATGTCTGTTAAAAAAAAATTATCTGATTTTTTTTAAGAATATATATTTAAAGCTTTAACCTTAATTTTTTAAGAAGATGTTTTCTTCTCCATAGTTTTACAATCATGAAATCATCTTTTTAAAAAATTACGGCTTTCTCAAATAAACCCCAAACTTAAGATTGAACTAATTCACTTTGAGCAGAGTTGAATCAACTGGCGCGTTAGCCCCAAAACATGAACCAAGATTTTTTATATACTATAAGGATTAATTTAGGAAGAAAATCTATCAGTACACTGCTCAAATTTTAGTGACAATGGAAAAAATATTAAGTACGGACAATATCTACGGGCAATCAATCAAAGAGGCTATTGGCTGTCCTGATGTGCGACACCGTAATATTTTTCATGCCGATGAGCCTTAAAATTTCTTGAATGTGCTTTAAAACAAGTATAAACTATAAAATATTTAATTAACATTATAATATGCCAGTTATTAATTACTTTATGATCATCTGTTCAGCCTGATGTAAATTTTTAGAAGAAACACTTTCTCAGAAACTTTACAATCAGCAACAAACTAGATGTAATTTGCAGTCAGGAAGCAATAAAACAAGAAAACAGAACATTCTGCCCCGCCACGTCTTACAACTTCAAACACAAAGTTAAAATAACAATCAAAAACTTGATGAATCATATACAAACACAGTCTTCACCTTCCCGGATATGTCAAACAGAATACAGAAGACAATCATCAGGCGCCTCTTTAAATTTGCAGCAATCCAAAAATTCAAATTTAATGTCAAAAAAATTCCTCCTTTTGTTGTTTTTTTCACCTCAGGATCATTCGGACTGAAAATTTCCTTTTTCAAGATCAGGGTCGTGCAAGGTCGCAGAAATGGTGATCACCAGCCCCTGCTGGTAAGATTATGAAGAGCTGGAGAGAAGCGAAGGCAGCTAAAGAAGCTCTGCCGATACGGCAGCGCTGTTTTCTTCTTCATCTCCTCCGCCGCCGCTTTGTTGGCCGTATAATGCCTCGCGTGCGGCGACACATCACGCCTCGCGCTCCCTTGCCGCACCGACCCATTGCTATCCACAGACCGGAAACTCGAGCTTCTCGACACATCTCTACCGCCTTCTTTCTTTAAGTTTGGCTGGAAAGATGAGGAGGAAGGTAAAGCTGTAAACTTTTGAAGAAAATCCTTGCTCCGGTCTCCGGTGGCGCGCCCCTCCGACGCGCTGCGGAAAAGGAGAAAGTCCTTTATGCGCCACTTCCAGCTTCCCTCTCCTCCGCCGCGCGTGCATGAGCATGAGATGGTTGCTGTCGGAGGATTTTGAGAGGAGATGGGGGTTTGGATGTGATGAGTCCTTCCTTTTCCGGTCTTCAGAGGAGATAAAGATCTCGATCCCTTCAGGCTGCGGGAAGGAGATATGGTGGGAGAAACAGAGACGGGAGTGCCGTTTCTTCCTCGTTTTATGGTGGCGGTGAAGGGGTCATGAGGAGAGCCGCAAAGACGAGGAGGGGGTCTAAGGGGGCGGATTTTGCCTTGCTCGAATAATTCGTCGGCGGACGTTAACGGCGGCGGCTGGGCGTTGCTGTCGAGCTGACCGCTGAAATCGAAGGCGAAGTCGTCGTCAGTGGGGCTGGCGGGGAGGCCTGCGTAGGGGTAGTATAATTCCAGGGGATCTAGGCCGAAGTGTTTTGGGCTTGACGGCGCGCTCATGTACGGCGTAGTTGTCGCGCTTTCGAATTGGAGCTCTTGGACGGGCACCACCACATCCATGTCTTAAGGCTTCTTCTCTGTTTTCTTGTCTGTTTGGGGACGAAGATAGATAGGCTTTGGGCGAGTGAGGGAAGTTTATATGGGGAATCGATGGAGGATGGCGTTGACAGGGAAGGAAGGTTCGAGGAGGAGA